TTTACCTGTTTATCTTCCTCTGTGTGTGCTGGATAACCCTTGGCTTTTACCAGCCAGAAAGCAGCAAGCTTTTTGTTGTTTAGTTTCAAGTATGTCTTTCCTAACAGCAGCAAGTTTTTGCTGTAGAAGTTTGGATCCACTATAAATGAGGAGGAGAAACAAAGTCAGCTCCAGAGAAATAGTGTTTTTATTTTTATAGGTTTAAATTTTTTGGTCTAAATTCTAATAAATTGTGTGGTTAAACAATGATTAGGCTAATACAATTCTTTCGTTCAAATGTTATCTTAAAAAAAAACATAAAATGATGATGTATTGAAGATACTTACAGACTCTGTACATTACTATACCAAGGTCTCACTTTAAGAATTTATTATTTGGCCGGGCGATGGTGGCGCACGCCTTTAATCCCAGCACTCGGGAGGCAGAGGCAGGCGGATCTCTGTGAGTTCAAGACCAGCCTGGTCTACAGAGCTAGTTCCAGGACAGGCTCCAGGGCCACAGAGAAATCCTGTCTCGAAAAACAAACAAAAAAAAAAAAAACAAAAAAAAAACAAAACAAAAAAAAAAAAAAATTTATTATTTGTTATCTGATAGAACATGAACTATATAAAAACCATTTTCTTTTTAAACCACCCATCCTTATTGTATTTCAGTTGCTTAGAACAGTGTAGGGAAAGTAACATACTTAGTACATCTGTTCAGTAAAGGAAGGAATACATGAATAAAATCATGGGTAAGATAAATCTGATCAGTTTGCTAAATATCTCCTATACTTAGGCACAGAAAGAGAAATATGAGCATAATTAAATGCTTTGCCAGATATAAGCTAATATGCTGCAAGAGGTCACATAAAAAGAACAACTAATTGAGAGATAGGCATCTTGGAGGATGAAGAGGATTTTAACAGATAAAGTAGAGAATATTCTTGGTTGAAAGAAAAGTGCAGATAGGTTCGAGGAATGTCAGAGTAGATAAGTAGTTATCAGAAACTGGGAAGGGAAAGAGATGGAGAATGGGTAGGAGGTCACAAAGGTAGAGAAATTTTTTTTTAAATAATTTACTATATATTTTTAGAAGATTTACAAGCTTCAGTACTTCCCAGTACAAAGATGACATATGCTTGAAATGGAGCTAACTGCTTTGATTTGGTAATTACATCATGTATGAATATATTGAATTACCAATGCTCCAAAATGTACAATTATACATTAAATAAAAAATAACTTTTTAAGAAGTCTGTGAATGAAATTATAAAGGAATCCTCTCACTTTTTTTTTTGAAAACGAGAGAGAAGTTCTGCATGTCCAAGTGAGCCTGGAATTTAATAATTCATTGTAACTCAATGGCACAGTTCCTCAGCCTCCTATATGTGCTGGTGACAACATGCATGCACCACTTCACTCAGTTCTAACTTAATTTCCTCCTAATATCCTTGGCTTTCTGAGGCCAAGCATGGAGCACATACTAGGCTTTAGGGTTAAAAAAGAACAAAGCCTACTTTTTCCTGGGTGTATCTTAGGATTAACTGCATATGCTTAAAACTTGGTCATTTAATTTCTTTGATTTAAACATTTTGTTTTTGTTTCTGTTTTTCAAGACGGGGTTTCTCATTGTAGCAGTCCTGGCTGTCCTGGAACTGTATTTGTAGACCAGGCTGGCCTTACTCACAGAGATCCACCTGCCTCTGCTTCCCAAATGCTGGGATTAAAGGTGTGCACCACCACCACCCAGCCGATTAAAACATTTTAAGGTTAAGTACACTGATTTGTATTTATCTATTTCCCCATCAAGGAAGTCAGCCAAGTATCATATGTGAAGCAATGGAAATATAATCATGAACCAAAAAGAAAAAGCCATTTACCGACACACACAGCCTTAAACACATGAACGGCAAAATAAGGAGGCTGATATGGGAGGTATGAACTACATACAACATGGGAGGGACTTCTGGCCCAAAACTAGGCATCCTTTTACTTAGAGAAATGGACTGCTCATATAAAATCTTATGTGCAACTGAAATCACCAAGGATTTAACTCCATGAACAGAGGAGTACATCTTCATTCAAGACTGCCAAACCTTGTCTTAAGGTCTAATTTTTGCTTTAGAATTACAGTTTCAAACCCCTTTGAGATAATTTCATTCTTAGATTCATATTCATGAATATGATCAGTTCATAGTCATATGATTAGTAAGAATACCAATAAAATGAGCAGTGAGCAAAACTTTGAGTTAGAAATATTTAACATTCAAACAGTTATTTAAAGCTTTTAAAATTATCACTAAATTGCTTAAGTTTCTATATATGGGACCTCAAATTAAAAAGTAAATCTTAGTTTTCTGTTTTAAGGAATTGTGGGTGTCACATACCTATGAAATTCCAATGTTTGGAAGCTGAGGCAGGAGGATTAGTACTTTGAGGTCAGCTTGAGCTATATATTTGGAGTGACTTTTATGATACACTTGGTGACGGACACTTGAGTCTCTTTCTTATTTCTTCTAGTTTTGGGGACTGAACTAAGGCATGTCAGGAAAGCACGTGCCATTGAGTTACAACCACAGTGCCAGTATTTTTTTAAGGGGGAAACATGTAGGACAGGTAAGCGACAGTGTTAAAGTAGTAGCCATTTTTTAAAAGTCAAAGTAAGAAGAACATTGAATTCTTTTACAATGGAATATACTGTAACATCCAAAAAAATAGTTTTCATTTAGGTGTCTCTAATTATAGAATATCAAGTTAGATAATCTGTGTAAATCTCATTAAAAAATTACCTTAACTGAAGAGAACATTCTAGAATTGGAACTCTGAATTCAAGTGCAATTCTGATATAGGTGATCCTTACTTTAAAAAATAAGTTCAAAATTGAGGCTGGAGAGAGGACTCTTGGTGAGATCACTACTCTTCCAGTGGACCTGGGTTCAATCCCAGCACTAGATGGCAGCTCACACCTGTGTTAACTCCAGTCCTGAGAGGACCAGACACGTATGTGGTGCCCAGTAATACATGCAAGGAATTTTTTTAAATTATTTTATTATCCAGTGTGAAAGACACAGCAAATATATTTATCTTGATTTAAAATTTTTTATGACAGTCAGCACTGAGACAATATTATAGAGTAGTTCAAGTAAAAGGGTTTTACCTTGTTCTGCCCTGTGGAAGTACTTCAAGGCCTGTCAAGAATATGAAGAGTAAAACAGTATGGAAAGAATTAGATTCAATAACTTAAAAAATAAAACCCAGATTTTCTCTAAGAGTTATTCTTACTGTTAAAAGTGTCAGAAAGTAAATGATTATTAAGATAAGTGATAAATTCAGTAGTAAGATTAATATAGGCTTAATATAACACCATTAAATCATCTAAAACTAGAATTTTAATAATGAAAATCACTTCTAGTAATTACCTGGTTGCTACTTAAGAGTTTGTAGCAAACCATTCTGTCACAAAGCTAAGGAACTGATCATGTGGAATTCAGCAGTTAACTTTGTCTTAAATCATGACAGTCACGCTTCTGACACAAGCTGATAGGATTAAATGATGAATTCACTCACAGTTTATACTTCGTATGTGTGTGTGGTGTGGTTTGTTTTTGGCTGGGAATGGAAACAAATGTGACTGAATATCATAGATTCCTAGGGGCAAACAACAACAATTGTTCCTTACTACAATAGACGAAATACTAGGATAATTTTTTTTAACTGGCAAGTTCCTTACATTTTTAAAATTAAGTGACTAAGTAAACTCAAGATTTTCATCTAATAGGCTAGGAAGGTAGATAGTGGGTAGGACCCTGGTTCAAACCCTAGCATCCAAAGGATGGGCAGGGGGCTGGGGGGTTGAAAATCTATGTACAAATTCTTTTCTAATTTTATTTATATAGGCCTTTAAAATATGAGGAACCTTTCAGAATCAAGAATTTTTTAAGTCAATTCTTACATGTTCTTCATTTCTCTAAATGACCTGCTATTACAAATAGGAAATGGAGGTCTGTTTTAGCCATGAGCTACTTTAACTGACAGCACAACAGAATCATCAGCCACTCACCTAAGTAAGAAGAAAAAAAGCACTCACCAGTCCTGGACAGTAAGTATTAAGTCTTTGAGATACTGTTGAATTGGATCATTAGAAACGTGCTCAAGTCCCTCATAGAATCAGTACTAACTTAACAAAGGACTTCACACTACCTCCTCATAGGTGGAAGTAGGAGGATTTGCAAACAGCACTTTAGCAATTCTTCTTTGATACCAAGGCATTTCAGCAAATGTATAGCACCTACAGAAGAATACAGTATTAAGTACATTCAAACTGTATCTTTTTTTTACCCACAGAACAAACATCTTAATAAACTTTATAAAAGGAATATTACAATTTTAAATAATTTGAATGTTACATGATACATGGTTGGTTAATATTCATATTTAATTAATTTTCTAGAAACTGACCTGACTTAGTAGTTGAGTCATTTTGTGCCAGAATAACTAAGTGACACAGGATGATTATTATAATCTAATTTCTTTTCTTTTCTTTTTCTTTTTTTTTGGTTTGTTTAGTCAGAGTTTCTGTGTGTAGCCTTGGTGCCTGTCCTGGAACTCCCTCTGTAGACCAGGTTGGCCTCGAACTCACAAAGATCTGCCTGCCTCTGCCTCCTGGAATTAAAGATGTGCGCCACCACCACCTGGCCCTACAATTTGTTTAAGTTTTCTTTTGAGACATGCTGCCCCGGGGCTAGCCATGAACTCCTAATCTTTCTGCGTCATCTTCACTCTTGAAGGGCTTATGCCTGGCTTACTATTAGTTTTGAAATAAGAAAATTCAGAATATTTTTAAATAACCAAACTCAGTGTACTATACATGAATAACAATAATTGCCAGTAATTTATTTAAAAAGAGTGAAGTAAATAATTAGCTTCCAAAAATAATGACAGGTTTCTGAGGTAGGACAAAAACCAACCATTGGGGATCTTTGACTAGGGACTGAACTACTTGAAGCATAGATTGTATCACGTTTGCTTACTGGCTAAGTAGCTGTCCTTTGATAATTATTAATCTTCAGTGAGTAGTTTAATCTGAAAAGTATTTCTTTTGTAAAAGACTTTGGTAGACTTTTATGCCAGCAAAAACATAAAACATTTGTATGCCCTCATACCAGCAAAATAATACCTCATATTGAACACAAGATCACAATGAAACTGGAAGAAAGAATACACAGTTCTCCAGAATAATCAAATCTCAATTTGATGATTTGAAGGTACAAAGACCTCCTATAAGAATGCAGTTTTACTTCGAATTGTAAATGAGGTCTTTCCCAAGAAAGGAAATTAAAGGCCTATATAAAAAAATCTTAAAGTTTTTTTTTTTTTTTTTAGTTTTCTTGGGGTTTTAATTTTCCTGGTGGTGAAAAGAGGGTTTTGAGAGAGGGTCTCATGTGAACCATGCTGCCCTGAACTCATTATGTAGGTGAAGATGAACTTGAACTCCTGATCTTCCTGCCATTATCAAAGTGTTTGGATTACAGGCTTGTGCCACCATGTCTGCCTATGTTTACTACGTTTTAGTGATACATATACAAGTGCTATTCAGTGACTTAATTCTCAATTCTGTTAGTGGTATTTTTATGTAGTTTATTTTGCTTATAAGTAAAATAAAATATTGCTTATACACAGTATAAGATCACACTAAATAGGACAGAAACATTATTGAAAATTTCTTACCAAATACCCATAAGGTGAATTGAAGTAGCATCTTTAGGGTTCAGCTCAATTGCTTTCTGTTGAGAAATAAAATCAAAGAAGCAGTGGATTAAAAAAAGAAAAGTATAAACCTGTATTTTAAAGATGTATTTGTGTGTGTGTCTGTGTGAATAAATGCCACATATCTTCAGGTACCCATGGAAGCTAGAAGAGGGTGCTGGGCCATTTGGAGCTGGAACCACCTAATGTGGGTGCTGGAAATGAACTCAGGTCTTTGGGAGAGTGGTCTCAGCACTCTCGACCACAGAGCCATCTCTCCAGCCCCAAACCTACACTATAATCAGGAAGAGCACTTCCCTCAGGATACACTCTCCCTCTCTTCACTGCCCCCTCCCTTGTGTGTGTTTACATGAGACATTAAAGCCAGATGTCTCTCCAATCATTCTCCACCTTGTTTTTAAAGACAGGTCTTTTATCAAACCCTGAGCTCACTGATTGTAGACCACCAGCAAGCTCCCAGGATCCTCTTGCCCCACACCTAGCATTTTGCATGGATGCTGAGATTAGGTACTCAGGGTTGCATGGCAAATATTTTGACAGCCATCTCCTCACCCCCATATTCTTTATTGGTTAAAATTGTTCTAGTACAATATTAAAGACATACTAAAGATATAGTTTCAGATATCTGTTTAGGAGGTGGGAAAACCCATAAAATATACAAATTAACCTAATTCTGAAAAGTTTAATAAAGTACAGTTTTTACTTGTCAAATTTAATATTGAAGAAAAGTCTTCCTGTTATCAAACCCCCATCCATATGAAACAAAATTATTATATATACCACTTGAAAAGGAATAAAAATACTGCTTCCAGAGCTGGAGGGATGGTTCAGCAGTTAAAAGCATATGCTGCTCTTGCAAAGGACTTAGGTTTGGTTCTCAATACCCCTGTGTCAGCTCACAACCATCTGTAACTACAGTTCCAGGGGTTCTGACACCCTTTTCTCACCTCTCGGCACTGCATGCATGTACAAGCAAAACACTTTTTTATATAATTTATTTGTATTTTATATTCATTGGTACTTTGCTTACATAAATTTCTGTGTGAGGGTATTGGGTCCCCTAGAACTGGAGTTACAGAAAGTTGTAAGCTGCCATGTGGGTGTTGGGAATTGAACCCAGGTCCTCTGGGAGAACAACCAGTGTTCTTAACCACTGAGCACTCATATTAAAGAAAAACAAAAATAAAAAATAAAAACAAACAATGCTGCTTCCAATTTATATTATAAGGTAACACTAATTCTGTGGTACAATCTTAATTCAGATATTTTAAAATATAGGACATGTAAATAAATTGTAAAATGTAATGATGCTTGTGTAAGAAGCATCATTACATTTCTGTGTTGATTCCTAGTCCAATGTTATTTTTCTCTAGTAATTATATAAGCTAGATACTGGGACTAATAGCTGTCAGCTTCGGAGGAGTTGCAGAGTAGCATGCCCAGCTTATTCCCACCTGTGCTGTTGTTCCAGTATAGTTTTGAGATGATCTACAATAATAAAAGATTTTTAAATGCTAGACACTTCTGTGTAGATTTGTTCTCTGTGTAAGAATAATGAAATAGTGTACACATAGAATATGAAATATATAGATTTATGTGTAATTTTTACCAATGAACAAAAATTACTAAAACAAGTAAATTAACTTTAGGGAGAAATTTGAACATAAAATACACATAGCATAATCTTGAACAAAATTATTACAACTAAGAAAGTTGTAGCAGCTTGATTAGACTGTTATATTTTAACCACCGAGCTTTCAAAACCTTCCAGAGAAACCGACTTAACCTCTGTTTGTTTGTTTGTGACACAGTGTCATTCAGAATGGTCTTGAACTCACAGGCATTTGGCTATCTCTGCTTCTGCGTATGTGGATTAAAGGCATGTGCCACTACATATACCAAATTTTTAAATTCAATACATTGTTATTAATTGTGCTACAAATGGTTTGAAAAACTTTGCACGCTGGAAACTTTTCTTTTGGAGCATTCACTCTTGAATGCCATCTCTCATTGTAGAGAAGCTTGGGGTAGATCCCTAAACAACAGGACAAGTAAGAAGGAACTAAGATAGATGAGAAGCCACCTTGAATCACTCAGTCCTAATACATAAAATTTACCCAGAAAAGTGGGAAAAAATAATGATTATTGCTCTATCCCACTGGGCTTTGGGTGTGCTTTCTAAAATGAAATAGGTCTTGTTCTGTTTCCTCGTGTAGGCCTCTAACTCCTAGGCTTAGTAATCTCATGCCTCTGCCTTTCAAGAAGTTGGCCTACAAGTATGCAGTAACATGTTCTGTACACAATAATTGGTAACTAAATCACATCCACTCAGAACAATACTTGACTTTTAAAGTTCATGAACTTAAGTCAGTACCTGAAAATGTTCCTTGATAATGTAGGCATTTGCAATCTTAGCCTTGATGCCTTCATAGTCTCCAACATCACTGATGCAGATGGCATACCACTAAAAGTAGGAAAAATAAAAAGTGAGAATACTGTTCTTAATATTCCATCTAATGCAAATAAGAAATTACATGAGTACTCCAGTTTTTATTCTCATTTAGCAAAATGTTACTGAGCATAATGATGACTTAAGAACAAAAGGTACAAATAAAACAGTCATGGTCACTAGGAACTAAAGGCTAGGACACACAGTGATAATGCAAGGTAGTAAGTGGTGAAATCTAAGACAACTACCAATATAATAGAGAAATAACATCTGAATATACACTTAGTTAGGTTTGTAACTAGATGACTCATTGTCTTCTCATCTCCTTTTTCTACATCTGCATGGCTGTATTAGAGTCACAGCTGCTAGCTTGACATCACCTTCATAGCCACTGTTGAGCAATGGACCCAAACTGAGACTATCTGAGTTTCTCTACCAAGAACTAAACTTAAAATATCTAAATTTCATAACTCAGGTGTTATGGAGAGCCACAAGGTTTAGAGTAGTGTAGGGGAAAAATGTCTGCAGTAAAAAATATTCGTGGAGGCCGGGCAGTGGTGGCACACGCCTTTAATCCCAGCACACGGGAGGCAGAGGCAGGCGGATCTCTGTGAGTTCGAGACCAGCCTGGTCTACAAGAGCTAGTTCCAGGACAGGCTCCAAAACCACAGAGAAACCCTGTCTCAAACAAACAAACAAACAAACAAAAAATTCGTGGAGACTCAGAGCAATTGAGTTAATTTTTCTTGGGGATCATAAGGACCTGCCTTTGAATTCTGTGCATACAACAGTTTCCTATTACATTCCTGTGAGCTATAGCTATAGGATCCCAATACACAAAATAAAATCATATAAATCTATGTGTCCTGACATGTTTACTGGAAATAAAATGGCACATTTTGAAATACACACATATACACACCTCTCTATAGACTACTATCATTTAATAATCTCTCTTGTTATCCGGTTGTACAAATTCTGTTCATTAAAAGGGTTACAGAGGATTTTGACTTGCTGCTCAGATCTTCCACACATCAAAGCTATTGAATAAAGTAATCTCTTATGAGTGGCTAGGGGTATAGTTCAGTGGCAGGGTGTTGGGTTTTCATGTGCAACCCACTATACCACAAACACAAAACCTCTGTTTTAAAAAAGGGATTTGTTTAATGTGTATGGGTGTTTTGTCTGTATGTATGTCTGTGTACTGTGTGTGCTGTGCCCTAAGGACAGATCAGGGCTTCAGATCCCAAGCCAGCATGTGGGTGCTGAGAACCGAACCAGCATGGGTTCTGTAACGAGTACTTGAGATGCCGATAGAATCTAAATGCCAGCATATTTTTTGGTATATATACCAAAATGTGCTAATAGGCAACACATTTAGCTATTTGTCCCAAGTTTCTTCTAGACCTGACACTACCTACTGGCTTTTTGGGAACCTATTCTCTTTGGATGGATACCTTGCTCAGTTTAGATATAATATGGAGGGCCTTAGACCTTCCCCAAAGCTATGTGCCTTACCCTATCTGAGGAGTGGGTAAGTGGAGGAAATGGGAGGAGGGGATGAAGTAAGAACCTCGATTGGTATGTATAATGAAAAAAAGATAGTTTGTTATCTATTTAAAAAAATTTTTTTTTCTTCTTAAAAAAAAAAATCCTAATCCAAGACTGTGCATTGACCTCACCACCCATGTCTCTGCATTACTGAAAACCAATCAGGAGATGCAAAAGCTAGGTAAGATACGGGAATCACATTAGTTCTCAGTTTTCTAATTGCTATACTCCCGCTGCTACATACACCAGAAACAATGAGGAAAAGAAACATTGTAAATTGGGGTGCGGGATGGGTTGGTTCAGACAAGGTCTTACAATGTGGCCTAAGCTATCCCGAAACTCTCCATTCTGCCGTGGCTTCCCCAGCTGCTGAGATTACAAGTTTATACCAATATGCTCAGCATTAAACAGTATGTCAGATGCTTGCTATATGAACTACAGTATTTGTTTAAGAACAGGCACTCGTAAGCATTCACAGAAGTATTTTATCAAGCATACGAATGTAGTTAGATGACTTGTTCAAACTCAAAACTGTAGCAATCCTCTCTAGTCCTTTAAAATGGAGCCATTTTTTCTCCTCACATAAATTAGGGATAATGGGTAAGTAGAGACCAACACAGCCTTCCTCACAGGACATTTTATTAACTAACTCACCTTGTGAGCAGCAAAACTTGACTCGTTTTTCTCTAGTGCTCTTTTTGCATACTCTAGAGCTTCATACACCAAAACTTTTTTTTCTTCTTCTGAAGTCCTACTCAGCTGTGCTATGTCACGTGATGCTCGTGCCAAACGCCACAGTAATTCTGCATCCTCACTAATTTTGGACAAGATATGAAACCATCTTAATTCACACTGAGAAACTGTTAGCAGTCATATCACTAATGAAAGTTCTTTCGGTTTACTCAGGATATATCAACTATCATAAAGGACATTATTTTTTTTTTAATACTTATTTATTTATTATGTATACAATATTCTGTCTGTATGCCTGCACGCCAGAAGAGGGCACCAGACCCCATTACAGATGGTTGTGAGCCACCATGTGGTTGCTGGGAATTGAACTCAGGACCTTTGGAAGAGCAGGCAATGCTCTTAACCTCTGAGCCATCTCTCCAGCCCCATAAAGGACATTATTAATACTATTATTTTCTTTCATAAAAGCCCTTACTTCCTAAAATCTATTGAAATTTTCCAAATTATTTTCAAACATTAACTTATCTATACATAATATCTAAAACATCAATTTATTGAAAAAATATTTTTGTATTTAAGTTCTCTGAACACTTTTTGTCAAGCTCAACATATAACATGAGGCTTGATTTACTAACATTGTACTTCATACAACCCCTAACTGGTTCAGATACTACCATAAAATACATTAGCTTTATGGACAGAATCATACTCTATAAAAATGGAACTGCCAAATCCTTTTCCCCAAATATATCTGGCCAAGAAAGATGTGTGATAGTTACTTATTTGTCCATAAATGAATGATTGAACGAATGCAATCTCAAACTAAAGTTCAATGCCATCATGCTGTGATATACATCAAGTAAGGGCACTGAACTCCTTGAAGATCTGTTAGTTAAATACAAGCATAAAAAACAAAAAATAACTAATAATTAAAAATCACAAGTGATAAAAAATGTTTTAACCTTAAGTTACTTTTTATTAAATGTATGTGTGTTCAAGCCTAATTTGTATTTTCTCTTTGTTAATGAAAAATAACACTCACTTAAATGTTGAAGCTATAAAGGTATCAAAAGTGTACAGCTTACTTTTCAAATAAGCAATGTAAAATGCCCAAACAGCCAACTCATGAAGACACACTGAAGAAGTAAAGACTTAGTCTACAGATACTTAACAACTAAAGTTGAGGGGAATAGGAGGGGTGAGATTATTAATAAAAGTAGATGAAAGGCAACTCAATATTTTAGAAGTAAATGCCATTTAGCCATATTCAACTCATAGGGTTGACCACTGCTACCTTTTGAATGAGTGCACACTGACATTCTACATGTAGTCTAGGACTAAAAACAGAAAATGGAAGTATTTGCTGTTTCTCTGAAAACTCTAAACACAGTTGTCATTCAGAAGTGCCACAGAACCATCCCAAACTCCAGTAAATTCATTTAAATCTTATACCAGTTAGGAATTACTTTTTTAAAAAACAAGAAATATGGGTGATAATAAAATGCATATATTTAATGTTACTTTTATAAACCAATGCAAAATAGAAAAAATACTTCAACATTCTAGTAGAATAAGAACAATCTTTACAATAAAATCAATGAGATTCAAATAGCACTTTTCAATCATTTTCTTTAAATAATGATTTACTATAAAATGAACTCTAGGAAATACTACTTTGAATAAAAAATTTCATACAAAAATTTTAATACCAAGAATCCTTTTATTGTTAACAAAAGCTTTTTGAGTTAACCTTAGACACAGATAAATCATACATAGCTTACCTTTCCTTGTACTGTGTGAGCAACTGATAAAGCTTCTCTGTTTCTCCACTTTCATATAGGTAGTCCGCTTGCTCAAGTATTTCTTCAACTTCCAAAGCATAACATGAAAATAAAAATTACCACTGATATATATGCTAACAAAACCAGACACAGAAACTACTATTACATCAGAAATTCTGAACCATCAAGATAAAAGTACTGTAGCAGTAAGCATGAAGTGGTTATAGTAAGTGATCTACTGAAACCACAAAGAACACAACCCAGACAACACAGGATACTAAATTTGATTAATACATGTTTAAAAATGAAAAAAAAAGTAATTCCTTATGAGGAATTCATGGCACAGAAACTACAATCTTTTTGCTTCTCAGTAGTTATGTCTGGTGGCTACAGAGTATCAGACACCCCCTTCTGTCCTCCTTGGGTAAATGTTCATATACAGCCCCCACCTCTTTCCTTCCTTCCTTCCTTAAAAATGTGTAATCTCTTCTGATTCTAAAAAGGAATTCTGAAACCCACACTATATGTGATATATAAGAAAAAATACAGTTACAGTACTACAGACTCACAATAGGTACTCAAATAGGAGCATGCAGACCACTCCATGTACATACCTGAAAATTGGTTGTTCTCTTATTTAATATTCTGAACTATCCTGAGATATTTAAAAATAAGCTATGCTGCTGACATAGAAACCATATTGTATAAAACAATCTAAACTTTTAGAGTAAGTTACTTTCAAGTTAAAGTATGAGAGTATTGATATCCTGAGGTGAGGTAAGAAACACAACTATACAATGAAATCTTAAACTTGACCTAAAATGAATACACCCAAGTTCATAACACTTGAGCAAAATTTTTCCAAGGAAGAAATATCAATGGTATGAAACCTGGCAGGTATATGTTCTAGAAGCTTTTGACTTTCTAGTTTTTGTTTGTTTCGTTAAATGAATTGCAGTCACAATCAGAGCCATCAATACAAAAACAAAATACTCCTTAGGTTATACTCAAGTGGGCTGGAGAGATGGCTCAACAGATAAAGGCTAGGCTCAAAACCAAAAATAAAGGTTTGCTCAGGTAACCAAAATTTTCAAACTTCTGTGTTTTCTTTATATCGGACTTACTTAATTCGTGGAAAATGGGCATACTGACAGTCAAGGATCAGGATAACATTATCATCCAGATCTAAGGCAAAGCTTTCCCACCAGTAATTCTGTGTGTTTCACAAGTACAAAAAACAATGCTATTAAAACTATTAGGAAACATAACTTAATAGTACTGAACATCTGTTGGTTTGTTCATCCTTGAGGAATGTTTTAAGAGTGCGAAAAGAAGGAAACGGAAGTGATACATGAAGAACCTTTAGGTTGCTCACTTGTGACAAACTTATCTCTTACGTAGTTTACAAGTTTCCACCTGCAGGAGGGTACTGTTAATCTATTAATCAGAGACTTTATTTTTTTATCAAATAATTTATTTTTTACATGCCAAACCCATTTCCCCCTCCTCCCTTGGTGTAGGAGAGTCTTCTGTCTATGTGTTGCTTTCATTGGTTAAATAAAGAGACTGCCTTGGGCTTTTGATAGGACAGCAGCTTAGATAGGCAGAGTAGACAAAACAGAATGCTGGGAGAAAGAAGACAGAGGTAGAGAGCTGCCTGCTATAAAGCTGTCAGGTCAGACATGCTGAATCTTTCCCCGGTAAGTTCTGAGCTCATGGTGACATACAGATTATTAGAAATGGGTTGAATCAAGATGTGAAAGTTAGCCAATAAGAGGCTAAATATAATGGACCAGACAGTGTTTACATGAATACAATTTGTGTGTTGTTATTTCGGGACATAAGCTAGCCAGGGAGCCAGAGCCGGGCGGCAGGAAGCAGCCCGCCATTCCTTTTTACAACACTCCCTCTCCCCTCACCTTCCCCCCACCCCACCCCCATCCTCAGAGTGTAAGGCCTCCCTTAGGAAGCACTAAATCTGCCCCATCACCTCCTTGAGACAGGACCAAGACCACTCTCCCTCCCCAGGGCCTACGCTGTGCAAAGTATCTCTCCAAAGAAAATGGGCTCCACAAAGTCAGTTCCTGCATTAGAGTTAGATCCTGGTTCCACTGCTGGTGGCCCCATATACTGCCTAATCCACACCGCTGTCACCTGTATTCAGAGGGCCTAGTTTGGTCCTATGCAGGTTCCCTAGGTGTCAGTCTGGAGTCAGTTCGCTCCCACTAGGTCAGGTCAGCTGATTCTGTGGGTTTCCCCATTATGGTCTTGACCTCTTTGTTCATATTATTGCTCATCCCTTCCTTCGATTGTACTCCAGGCGCTTGGCCCAGTGGCTAATTGTCTCAGAGTTTAAATTTTAAAGAAATGGTTTCTGAAGTTCTGTTTCTTCATTTCTTGTCAGAATGGGTATTTGCTATCACCTTGTGGTAAGCACAGATACTAACATTAAAAAAATTAAAAATTTAGTTACAATCCACAGTGGTTGAGTGTGCCTAGCAAGCAAAAAGCCAAGTACCTTGATAAAACAGACAAAAAGTATTGTTATGAGGCCCAGAAAACAGTCCCTAATAGGTATGAAGTGGCATACTCTCACTTGTGCCAATATGCCATGGGACTGAAACTAGTCATGAAGTCCAGTTCATTATGGAGGACTACACGAGGGCAGGCATCTCAGAAGTGGGCAGGGGTCTAAAGGGAAGTCAGCTTGGAGACCAGCAGCACTGATGTCTTTGTTTCTTTCCTTTGTTATCCCCAGACCAAGCGTGTACTAAAGAGATTTTCATTTTCTTTCCTTTCTTCTGGCTTGGAATATATTCTATATCTGTTTTTTCTTTAGCCATCTGTGGTGATCTGAATAAAAATGGCCGCCATAGGCCCGTATATTTGAATTCTCAGTCAGCAGGAGTGGCACTACTTAAAAGGATTAGGAGGTGTGGCCTTTTTGGAGGAAGTGTCATTGAGGGTGGGCTTTAAGGGTTCAAAAACCTAAGCCAGATCCTAGTGTCTCTCTCTTCCTGCTCCCTGTGGATCCAGATGTAGAACTCTCAAGCACCAAGTCTGCTTGAGTGATACCGAGAATGGGCTAAACCTCTGAAACTGTAAGCAAGATCCAATTAAATGCTTTCTTTTATAAGACTTGCTGTGGTCATGTTGTTTGTTCATGATAACAGAACACTGGCTGAAAGAGTCATCCTCCATTTTCTCACCTGTATACTGTATTTAACCATGTCTGAAGTTAAGCTGGGTGAACCTTGGGAGAGTAGAAGCAGTTGGGCCACTGTGAGTTTGAGGTCAGCCTGGTATACATACTGAGTTCCAATCCAGCCAGAGCTACAAAGTAAAACTCCATCTCAAAATATAAAAGAAGATAAAATGTCTTAAGTTAATCACCGTCTTATGGAATATATCTCTGAAATCTGGTTTCCTGCTGCTCATTTTTATTTCTTTCTACTTTTTAAGTCTTATTTTGCTGTGTTGTTTGTTTTAACAGTACTGGGGTTCAACCCAAGGCCTTGTTGGTACTAGGCAAGCACAATACCACTGTGCTACACACCCAATTCTTTTGTTTGAATTTTCAAACTAAGTCTCTCTGTGTAAACCAGGCTGGGCTCAAACACTAGATTCTCCCAGCTCAGCCTCTCAAGTGTGGGGATTACTGTTTTGTCTTTAAGACAGCCTTTTTACTCTTATACAGTCTGTGCTTGCTTGAATTTTCCACACACAAAAAATATTTTTGTTCTTGGTTCATAGTACCACTACTTCTGAGATTTACTACCTGAGTAGTTTATTTCATGCTTATTACCTGAGTGGTCATTAAAAAGGATCATTCCTATTTTTTAACATATAGATATATTAAATTTTATAAATATATACATATCACTGACTGACAGTGAAGAACATATAGTACTATTAGTTTCATTATGCATTCAAAAATAAGCAAATGAGAAAATCTGAAAATCTTTGGCTGAGAGAATAAAGAGTTTGCTCTACAAGCATGGAGATCTTAGTTTTAGATCCTCAGAACCCATATAAAAATATGATTTGGGCATCACACATCTGTAATCCCAGCACTTGGAAGCAGAGATACAGGTTCAGTGACTTTGTCTCAAAAATTAAGTTGGGGGCTGGAGAGATGGCTCAGAGGTTAAGAGCATTGCCTGCTCTTCCAAAGGAACCACATGGTGGCTCACAACCATCTGTAATAGGGTCTGGTGCCCTCTTCTGGCCTGCAGGTATGCACACAGACAGAATATTGCATACATAATAAATAAATACATAAATAATTTTTTTAAAAAAAAATTAAGTTGGAGGGACTAGAGAGACGGCTCAGCAGTGAAGAGTCTTGGCTGTTCTTCCAGAGGTTCTGGGTTCAATTCCCAGTACCCCTATGGTGGCACACGACTGTCTGTATCTGTAACTCTATGGAATCCTATGCCTTCTTTTTGTGTGTAGATATAGGCAGACATAACACCCATATACATTAACAAAATAATTAAAAAGTTGGAGAGCCAAAGAATTCACAACATCAGCCTCTGGCATATGGCACAGGTCACACGTTCTGCCATCCACAGAATAAATCTTCAAGATCTTTAGTTCATGCTTACCTTTGGCTGTGGCATGAACCACGGCAGCCTGAGAAATGACTTGGTAGGTTTCAAAACCCAAAAAAGACAAGGCTGAGAACAAAAGGCCTCTCTTGAAAGGTCGAGTGTTTCTTATCACCTAGAGAAAATATATTAAAATTCTGAAACTCAGAAATCATAAAGAATTTGCAACTCCAAGTAAAACATATTAATTTTTTTCCACCTCCAAAGCAAGTAATTACCAAATGCTAGAAAAAAAATGGTTTGCCAGTTCCTCAGTAAAACTACTTCAAACCTTGCATACAGTATATCTTTGTAGTAAAGCATCATGCACAAGGCACTTGTTTCAAGACCCAGAACATCAAAATGAATGAATGGATATGACAAAGTGACTATTACATTATTATGGAAAATTTTATAGAGACAGAGGTACTACAAATTGTATGGAATAATATTAATAATAAACTTATCAATTATATCATTTATCTTATAAACCAACATATAACAAATACTAATTACAGGTAAGCTGAAATCTATAATTACTACACATAAAAAATATATACTGGGCTGGAGAGACAGCTCAGAGGTTAAGAGCACTGGCTGCTATTCTAGAGGTCCAGAGTTCAATTTCCAGCACCCACATGGTGGCTCACAATCATCTACAATGAAATCTGGTGCCCTTTCTGGCGTGCAGGCAGAACACTATGTACATAATAAGTAAAATCTCTCTGTCTCTGTCTGTCTGTCTGTCTGTCTGTCTGTCTGTCTATCTATCTATCTATCTATCTATCTATCTATCTATACACACACACACACACACACATATATGTGTGTGTGTTCTTGGTTCATAGTACCACTACTTCTGAGATTTACTACCTGAGTAGTTTATTTCATGTTTATTACCTGAGTGGTCCATATTTTATTAAGTCATTAAAAAGGATCATTCCTATTTTTTTAGTATATAAAATTATAATATATATAATATATATGTATACAGCTCTCAGTGAGGATATTGTCCAAAGACCCCATAATTTTTAAATAGAGAATGAATAATCATATTTAAGATGAGTATGGTAGCATATGCCTATAATCCCAATACTCAGGAGATAGAGGCAGGCAGACCAGGAAAATATTCAAGGACAATCTCAGGAACAGTTTCTGAGTTTCAGTTCAAGGCCCGCTAAAATAGACCTGAAGCCCAGCCTCAAACAACAAGAAGATTTACAATCAGTTTATACAATCATCATCAGATAATTCTGACCAATTACGGGAACAAATACATCACTCCTACAACTCTTCTATTTGACACAGTAGCATTTTTTCCTTTCTGTCAAATCATTTGACCAGCATGAAAACAAACTTCTATCTCTATTAAAAAGCAGCCTGTAATTTTTTCAGTATTTTGGAGACAGGGTCCCACTTTATAGCACAAACTGGACTTGAATAGTTTCTTGTTTCTTCTGTTTCTGCCTCTAAAGATGGGATTACAAGGTTCCAGCTATTTTTTTTTTCCTTCTGAAAATATCCTTTGGCCAGATATGTGACTCAGTGGTAAAGTACTTGTAAGATCTATGTTTAATTTCAGCTAAAAAAAAATAAAGCACACTTCCCCTTGATTTTAAATCTTATTTCAGTCTCCATTCCCAACTCTTTCCAAACATTCTCATCCTATTTGGCTGTTTCTACTTTCTAGCTCCTATTTTCTCTTGAACCCACAGATTATATATTTGAGACAATCTCTGGTAGCCCAGGCTGACCTTGAACTCACTAGTAGCTGAGGATAACTTTGAACTTTGATCCCCCTGTCTACTAGTCTAAAAGAACAAGCATGAACAATCTACAAATTCACTTTTAACCAAATCACTCCATGAATGATGTTTTGTTTCCCAGATTTTGGAATATTTATAGAAACATGATGAACCATCATGTGGCTAGGACAATAGTATACCCATGAAATTAATTTGTGGTTTTTATAATCTTTGTACACAAAGCCTGTAAATAATGTTGTGTAATATTATTAGTGTGCCTGTGTTTTAACTTTGACCTGTTACAAGAAGTCAGTTAGAATTTCCAATTCTATGGCACTCAAATGCCTTGAATTTTGAAGCATTTAGGAAGTTCAATTTTCAAATTAAGAATGCTCACTCTGTATTTCCTGTGGTCAATTCTGAGTTCTCATTGTACTTTGGCATATCAACAGCATTTGATAAACAAGTATTTCCTCTTAGCAAAAATCATTATAGGAATAAAAATAGGCAAGTCATGAACTGATGCTAAATTTTAAGACCAGCTTTACTGGAATATTCACTAATAAACTACATTCTTGAGGGTACAATTTTATTATATATATAAACTGGGAAAATCCATTTTCATCAGCACAATTAAGATAATGAACATACTCATTAACTCAAAACTAATTTCCTTGTAATGTACTTTCCCAGCATTGTGTTTAGTTACTGTTAAAATAGTTCAGTTTGGTTTTGAAATATTATTCTCTTGGATTTTTCTCCTGTCTCACGACCTTCCTTCTCTTTTAGTAGTTCATCTCCAATGTCTCCTTATCTGTTGTATGTATCTAAAGCTTAATCCTAGACCTCTGTTTTGTACGTGTTCTTATTTCCTCTTTGCCAGATTTGACCCATTCTATCTCTAACCTGGATGCCACTTCTAAACTTGAGAATCATTCAACATCTGTTTCTATATGAAGTGTTTATGAATTTCAAGGCACCATTCTTCCCACCATCCCCTCTCTTCTCAGTTTTTCCTATTAAGGTAAATGGGAGCTATATTTTCCTTGTTATTTCTTTTTTCTTTGTTTTATTTTTAGATTCATTTATTTTAAGTCCATAAGTGCTTTGCCTGCAAGTATGTGTATGTTCTGTGTGCATGCCTGGATCCTTCAAAGGTCAGAGAGGGTGTCAGATCTTCTGGAACTGGAGTTACCACAGGTTGTAAGCCACCGTATAGGTGACCAAAGATTGTAAACCACCATGTAGGTGTTAGGAACAGAAACAGGGTCCTCTGAAAGAGCATCAAGTGTTCTTAACAACTGCCACTAAGCTATCTCTCCAGCCTTCTTGTTCATTTTTTAAAAACAAACAAAAACACCACTGACTCATCTAGATTTTCTCGGAATCCATATTTAATCCACATCTAAACTTCTGATATAGACTTAGACTAAAAAATGGAAAATATACCACATTCTAATTTTTTGAAGATTCTGTTAAAAATGAATACTCAAGATATATTAGCACCCGTGACAAATCAGCCACGAAACAGCATTTCATGTTCTGAATGAATTCTTAATTTTTAAAGACAGGTTAGTGGTTTGTAGTCTTGCCTAACATATAAGAAGCCCTGGGATGGATCTTCATCACCATATAAACTGGGCTTGGCGGTGCTCTTAATCACAGTACCAGCCAGGGAGGTGGGCACAGGAGGATCAGGAGTTCATGGTCTCCCTTAGCTACATACCTGGTACACACAAAATCTTGTATTATAAAAAAGAGGAGGAAGAGAAGAAAAGTTGGACTAAGGAGACAGTATGCCAGGTTTATAGGCATGATGTTAGTGCCTAAAAAAAAAACAAAGGGGAAAAGACCAATATATTTAACATTAAATTTTAGTTGCCTACTAATCCACAGGTAATAACACAGTAGGAAGGTTGTATATACTACTGTAATTTGAGAAAAATGTCACATTTAGAATGCTCAACTTTTTGTGCTGAAGTAATATGTAATTTTAAGGGGTAACTATATTTCTCACTGTTAATTCATAAATTGACAGTTCATCTGCTGAGTTCTGATCAGTTTGATTAATATCAAGCAATCCTTTATTCCTTTATCTCTGGGAAAGTAGAAAAAATAGTGTTTCTATGGTTAAAATAAAAGGCCCAGGACACCTCCAAGACACTGATAACTTTAAGAATGTATTCAACAGCTAGAATATGCCACTTCACTTTGTACCTCTAAAGTGGAATGTAATGCTTTTTATAATGAGTTCTTAAGCAGTAACAACAACAACAGAAGTCTCTTGAAGGAGCCATAAAGATGACTCAGTGGAGAAAGGCACCTGCCACCAAGGCCTTATGATCTACAGGATGAAAGGAGAAAGCAAATTTCCACAAGTTTTCCACTCTAGCATGCATCTGAACACATATACAGAATGTAAAATGTAATTACAATTTTTAAAGCATTTCATATAATAAGTATGTTCTCAGACATTTTTTCTTCAACATTAATTTTACCAACTTTAGAGTCATTTTTTAAAAAATCATTAGATGAAAGGAATATGTTAAAATTCTTCCCCTTTTATTTGTAATTTTTTGCCACAATATCTTCCTCTTAACTATTAGAATTCCCTGTGATGGATACAAAGCCTCTTCTTGGTGTAATATTAAATACTTTGAATATTTTACCATGGCTGAAAAATACAATTATTTATGAGCCGATTGTGGTGGTGCTTGCATTTAATTCCAGCATTTAGGAGGCAGGGATAAGAGGATCTATGTGTAGCCAGCCAAAGCTACAGAGACCCAGTCTGAAAAACAAAACAAAACAAACAATTATTTGCTAAAAGTTCAAAAGGTAATTAATTGGCAGACCTACTGAGCTTCTTTGCTATCCATAAGCCAACTTGGCCCTCTTAATACAGTCCAAAATATAACTCACTTCCCCTTTACCCCTCAAATTTCTTTTGGCAGTCATTTCTCACACTATCCATTAGGCTGTTTCAGCTAGAAACTAAAGAATTCTCCTTGACTTTTATTTGGGGGGTGTAGAGTTATTTGTATTTTTTTTTCAAGACAACAACAGAGTTTCTCATAACCTGTACCATGAAACTGTAATTCTGTCAAATTCTTTGAACTCATCTACTTACTTACATTTCCACTAGAGTTCAAACCACATTTCTTACCCATCCTACACCAAGATCTCTGTAACATTCACTCTTGCATATCCATTCTGTAGCCAGAACTACAGCATTGAGCCATCGTGCTGGGCATAACCCGAGTGCCGCAACCCTCGGTGGCTAGGCAGAAAGTGACTTTCTCAACGGTCAGAGGTCTTTCACCTTCCCGTTCTATTCTCGGACAGGAAGGGCAGGGAGCACGCACACGTCCACGGACGTCTAGCCGGGATGCAGGACCACCCGGGACGCCCTGCCGAAGGAGAGGGCAGGCCAGGACAGCGGGTTACCTCGGAGCCACAGTGTCCCCGGCTGCCCCAGGTCCTCGCCGGCTGACGGAAGCTCTGGGTGGCTCCGCGCCGCAGAGGGAGAAGGCGCCACAGCCGCGAGGACAGCGCCATGACTGACAGCTCCCCAGCCTGATCGAACGGGGCGGGGCGAGAGGCTCGTCAGGACGGCCGCTCTCCAGCTTCCCGGCCGGCACTTCCGCCACGCCCGCAGCTTCCGGGTCTCGGGATCCAAGGACCGGAAGTAGCTTGACGGAGGGGGGCGGGGAGACGACATCACGCATGTGCGCAGCACGCTCAGGTGAGCGGGAGCGCCCTCCTCTGGCCACTGGCGGTTGTCCTAACTTTTGCGGGAGCTTTTCCTCTGTTTGGCCAAAGCGTAAAATAACAGAGCAGAACTCAAAGTTCTAAAGTAGACCCAATAATGTATGCATGAAAGAAAAGGTGAATAAAGCAATTTTTCTATAAGTCTCCAAAGTCTTCAGAAGTAAAGTGAATCCTGGCACTTATGGTCCTTTTGGAAAATAAATGCTTGAATGAATTAAATTGGGCTACATAGGAAGACAGTGGAAAAATTTAGAGGCTGGAGGTGGTGGGAACTAAAGTTGGGGAACCCATCGAGAAGAGGAGGAAAGCAAAGCCCCACCGGGTCTGAGTCAAGAAATACTAGGAAAAGGGGAACCCTACAATAACCAGACGTTCAGAATCTAGCCTGCATGAAATCCTGGGTTCAATTCTCAGCACTGCATAAGACTGGCGTGGTAGCATGTGCCTATAATGCCAGCACTGGAAGGTGGCAACCAGTAGTTCAAGGCTATCCTCAGCTATATAATGAGTTGGGTCTTGCCCGAACTCTGAAAGATCCTGTCTCGGTAAAGAAAAAAAAAAGTTGATTGATGTAATTCTAGCACTATTACCTTGAATTTAAGGGCAGCCTGGGCTTTTCAGTGAATACCAGTCTAGCCTGTATTACAGGATGTGACTGTTCAACCCTGCATTTAAAAAATGCAGATGGGCCAGGCGGTGGAGCGGCTGGCAGACCTCTGTGAGTTCAAGGTCATCCTAGTCTACAAGAGCTAGTTCCAGGACAGGCCCAAAGCCACAGAGAAACCCTGTTTCGAAAAACAACAACAGTTCCTGAGTGGTTACTGTTAGGATTCAGGCATTATGCTGACCCCTGTCACTTGGCAGGATGCACTCAGGCAATGCCCTGGCCAGCCCAGGGTCCTAAGGCTGCTACTATGTAGTCTGTGTGCAGGTGCAAAGGATCCTTTTAAGAGATAAGCTCCTCCTATTTCATTCTCTTCCGACTGTTCTTCTGAAGAGGCAAGCAGGTCTCTGCCTGTCTGTCTCTCTGTGTCTCTGTCTTGTCTCCACCCCCCCTCCCCCAGGCCAGTCTGTTCCCTCCCCTTTACACTTTTTGCCACGTAAGATCTGTATGCATGTCATATTTGTCTGACCCTCACCAGCCGAGGGCTATCTTCCACTGCCAATGCCCCTTTTGTGCAGAAATCGTTACAGTTGTATCCTAGAGATGGAAAAAATAAAATTAAATATGACTTACATTTATTGCCTTAAATTGTTAAGATGCCCGTTTGCTAAAGGTGCTATATGGTGCTGAGACCTTTCATGTCATTTAAACATTATGCCATGTATATATGTATATATGCTACAACACCATGCCCTATGTAATAAATACATAGAATTTTGTCACCTTTCATGTTTGATAAATGATAAAAATACATTACATTGAAAATATGTATGTCTTTCTCAACTTCTACTAAATCCTAGTCATTTCCACAGACTATCTCTACTGCTGGCTAGTTCAATATTGCTAGATAATATATTTATACACCATTGGAGGCCGTGCTCATGCTGAAATTACATTTCTATGTCTCAGTTACAATGGATTCTGGGTATATTTGTGTTGTTGTGAATAAATCCAGGGCTTTGTGCAATTTAGGCAAGGGATCTATAACCCAGCTACATTCATGACCTCACCAATAATAAATTTCATTGGTCATACTTATGCTGAAAAACTCATTTACCTGAAATTCAAATTTGCTTCAGCATCTTAAATTTTTCTGGAAGTCTTATTTGGTTTTCCATGGTTAGGCATAACCAGTTTGGTAGAGAGCTGGTGCTGTAGCTTGGTGGTAGAGTGCTAATATGTGAGGCCTTGGATTTGTTCTCTGGCCCTGTAAGAAAAGGAATTAAAAAGTAGATCAGAAATGTATTCCCATTCTTAAGTTTGTTGTTGGTATAGCATACTGTCATGCACACAGAGACTACACTATATGCTATCCTTTCCACGTCTTTTGGCTTCATTCCTTGACCCCCCCCCTCCTCCTGTTACATCACATGCATCTCAGTAAGTATCAGTCCCACTGTCTTTTTGATCTTATAATGAGCCGCAGGCTCCACTATATGTATTTTCTTTGTCAGTATTCCTTTATATTCCACTGCCAGATACCTTCTTTCTTTTACCTGGCTAATTTCAATTTCTTTTCCCATTCTCAGTATGTTACTTTCTTAGACAAATGTCTCTTGATTTCTCCTAAATATACTTTCATTTATTAACTCATAATTTCACTTTTAGTTTTGTGATAATTTGTCTAGAGTTTGTTTTTGGAACAGTTGGTAGCCTGCATTCACTATACTGTAATTTCAATGACTGATTTTTTTTTTCACTTACAAAAAGGGTATGACTCATTCATTCAATAAATATGTATCATGTATTTATAATGTTAAGTCTCACACCCTGAACAAATGACTACCTGAGGTGCCTATTTAGCATATCAAAGCAGATTCTGGCCGTCAAATTCTCAGCGACTACTTGCTACAGGGTCATCCCGGCTGGCATACCTCTCCATGTACCCTAAACACTACAGCTCAGGGACTGGGATGGACCCCCGCCCCAAAATTCTCTTCCCTATATAACCCAGCCATTTTGGCTACACCTCTTTCTTGGGCTCCCGGCTCATTCCTGGCCTCTTGGTTCCTGGTTTTTCTCTTTTGCTCTCTCGCTCCCCCACATTCCCCTCCTCTCATGGCCCTGTTCAGTCTGGACTCTTCCAGATGCTTTTGGTTGTGTACTTTATAGCTTTGTTATATCTACAATAAACCTTTTCCTCCATCCATACCTAGGAGCTGGAAGCATCATATTCTTTTTTTAAAAAGTTTTTTTATTCGGGGGCTGGAGAGATGGCTCAGTGGTTGGGAGCATTGCCTGATCTTCCGGGGGTCCTGGGTTCAATTCCCAGCAACAGCATGGTGGCTCACAACCATCTGTGATGAGAGCTGATGCCCTCTTCTGGCGCGTGGGCATACACGCAGACAGAATATTGTATAATAAATAAATATTAAAAAAAATTAAAAAAAGTTTTTTATTCATGTAATATGCTTCCTAATCTTCTAGTATCAAGAAAAGTAAAAACAGTTGTAATATACTGTATGACGATAAATGCTAACTAAGAAGATGAGGGAGAAAAAGCTATAACTATATATTTCTGTGAGGCATTGATTGCAATTTCATTTTATTTCTTTTTTTCACTTTCAGTGTTAAGTATTGAACACAGAGCCTTGTTCATTCTAGGCATTTAGTACTTTGTAACTGCGAAACTGCCTCAGCCTAAATTGAATCCTAAATTGAATAATGGTCAGAAAAAAACTTACTCAGAACTTTCAAATTAATACCCAAAGAAGTTAGTCATGAAGATCTTTAGGGACAAAGCATTTTGTAGAGAGTAAAATAAACATGAAAAGTCCAGCTATGGAAAGGCAAATAGAAATTTTCCTGACCAGCAAGGAAGAAGGAAGTAAGAGAAGAGATAAAGACCAGTGACAAGGTGGTAAGAATTTTGAATGTTTTCTTTGTGTGACTACATCAGACCTAATTTGCATTTTATGTTGGGTCCTTCTAGGTTGAGAGTAGACCAAAGGAGAGTATGGTTGACCTTCCGGGCCAACCACCTTAAAGGAAGTGACTCTGTCTTCCAGCAGTTACCAGTACCAATAGACACTGCCTCAGCTGGGGGAGAGATTCAATGCCCATTGCCCCTCTCCAGCTGAGATTTTGTCCAATGAGGTTTGCAGGCTGCCACAATTGCTGTGAGTTCATATAGGAAACTGCCCGGAAAGTTTCCTTGCAGTTACTCACTGACCCTGGCTCTTACATTCTTTTCTTTCTGCCTCCTTTAATGATCCCTGCTGGGTCTTGGGAGGAGGAGGAGGAGGTATGAATCAGACATCCCACTTAGGACTGAGCTTTTCTCAGTCTCCTATTCTCTGTGCTTTGGCTATCTGTGGGACCCTGTGTTAATAGAAGCTTCCCTTCTGAGAGTTGAGAGGTGAATTCACCTATGGGTTTAACAATAGGTCATTTGGAGTTGGTTTAAAACTCTGTCCATTTAGTAGTACTATGTTCCTACGACCTATGACCTGTCCAGCCATAGGTCTTGCCCTGATAATAGTGCCAGGTATGGAACTTAAATCCAAACAAAAAGTGGTTGGTTATTCCCATGATATTCCTGCCACTATTGCACAGTGGGCATGTTTTTCCAGGCTGGCCATGACTGTCGCTTATAGGGTTCACTGTTGGAGACTGCTTTTCTCCTCTGGTATCATTTATACATCATAGTCCATTGTTTGGCTGTTTCTGTTGAGTGTTTCCTCCTACCCTTTTTATCAGCAATTTAAATGAACTAATTTTTGACATGTTTGTGCTAACTGCTGTCTTTTTGTCTTTGTATATTTTTATCCCATTTTTGAGCAAAAGTTTTAAATTTTCCTTCAGTATAAGATGTGGTATTGAGTACCCATCGCCATAGGTTTTGTGAGATCAGTATAATCTGATGATGTTGGGCAAATAGAACAATTACTGATCTATCACATTTCATGTCATTCACTAGTACCTTCTCACTAATGAAAAGGTACGTGCCACTAAACACATTACAAGGCTTTTGCGATGCTTAAATAAAATGAAGCATGTAAAATGATTCAGGGAGTGTGCACACTGAGATCACTGTACAGAGGGGTGGTTCAGACTTGGTACTTCATTCTCAAAATTTTCTGTCCGGATCTGTTTTCGTTTTTTAAGATGTTATTTACATACATACATACATACATACATACATACATACATACTTATGTGTGTTTTGCTTACATGTATGCATATACATGCCTGCTGCCCTTGGAGGTCAGAAAAGTACATCGG